CTTATCTCCTGAGAATCTACTAGGAATTTTATTTTTCTGATTGGTCATCTACTAGGAATATTCTTTTTCTTTGATAAATAAAATTCATCAAATTTCATTAGAAGCAAAGGATAAAAGTCTGTTACAAGCATCCCAGCGGGAGGCGTGAGGTACAGTCTCATTCTTTAACAAAGAAATAAAACAAATTTACAAATGGGTCCAGTACATCTGATCCGTAGTTACCCCTTGCTTAGCTAGAGAATCTGCTAGGAATATTCTTTTCTACCTTATTCATTATAGGACTGTAAGAACAGGCTTGCAAGCAGGCTTCAATTGTGTGTTATGATCCTTAAGTATTAGGCTGTAGAATAGCAAGAATGTCTTCTTCCTTGGATTTAATGAAGGACTTTCACATGTGTATAGGCCTGAGGAGTGAGATCACATAAGCCAATACCTGCCTATATCACAATTGAAGCATTGGATTCAGTTGAGATGAAAGGGCTTTAATGATAATGAGAGACAGAAAATAATGAATTGAGAACCAAATTGGAGATGGCCACTAGGAGGGAAGAAATATGCCAGAGGCAAATATCCAGGTGCAAAAGGAGGAAGATGGGAATAGTAAGTTTCTCCATTCTGTGGCAAATGGGAGAAGGAAGAAAAATATGATTTCAAGAGTAGTGGTTAATGGGGAAGAATTGGCAGGTGTGGAGTGGGACAGGATTCCAGTGAAGTTGGCAACAAAGTTGGAGGAATCCTTCTCATTGGAAGAAGTAAAGGTGGCTGTAATGGGAATGAGTGGTGGTAAGGCTCCTGGCCCCAATGGCTCCACTATGGCCTTTTATCATGAGTGTTGGGAGAAAATTAAGGAGGAATGGAGGATATGAAGAGAGCTTTTGATGAATTCCATGAGAAAGGAAAGTGAGAAAAGGGATGAATGCCACTTCCATCTCCTTAATACCCTAGCGTGTAAGGGCTGCTTCCACCAATGATTTTAGACACATAAGCCTCAGTACGAGCTTATATAAAATTTTGGCTAAGGTACTTTCTTTGAGGCTGAAGAAGTGCTTCATTCAGTGGTGTCAAGGGAAAAAAGGGCTATTGTAAAGGATAGGCAAATTCTGGGTCAATTTCTTGAAGCTAATGACTTAATGAGGTTGTTGAGCATTTTACGAAGTCAAGAAGAAAAGGTTATGTTTCTAAATTGAATTTGGAAAAGGCTTATTATCATGTCAATTGAGGGTTTCTACAGTAGGTGATGGAGAATATGAGCTCTGGGCAAAGGTGGGTAGGCTGGATAATGGGATGTTTGAGAACTACCCACTTCTCAATTTTCTTAAATGGATCCCAAAAGGATTTTTTTAAGGCCTCAGGGGGGTTAAGACAGGGTGATCCTTTGTCTCCCATGTTGTTTATTTTGGTGGCTGAACACTTGAGCAAATTGAAGAAGGCGGATAAGAGAGGCATCTTGAGAGGTTTCAGAGTAGGGAGACGAAACCAAGTGGTCTCACAATTGCAATTTGTGGATGACACTTTGATTTTGGGAGAGTTTAGGGGTGGTCAAGATTGAGAATCCTTAAATGCATTTTAGAGTTAGTGGAAGAGAGTTTCTGGCTTAAGGGTGAATTTAGCCAAATGTAGTTTGGTGGGAACTTGAGGTCGGAGGTGGAGTGTGCAGAGTTTTTGGGTTGTGAAATTCAAAACTGGCCTATTAAGTATCTAGGACTACCTTTGGAGGGGTTGGGGGGGGATCCTAGGTATATGGGGTTCACTCTAATTAATAATTACATCTCTAGGGGGGAGGGGCGTCACTCTAATTAAATTCACCTTGTTCAATCTTTCTTCCTATCTGTTTTTAAGGCCACTCAACCAAGGCCTAGAATTTTTTTATTACTATTTTTACTTTGGATCTACTTGGGCTGTAGGAAGAAGGAGCCTGATGAGGTCAAGACTGCTGTTGCTTTGGTGGTTCTGAAGAATCCAGAGTTCCAAGCAAAACCCACATCGTGCTTTTTTTTTACTTTTTCACAGTTGAAAGAACAGGTTGTACAAAAGAAAGTTGGTAAAATTCAGAGCTCCAAATCATGAAGACCCTTCTGGTAAGAAGATGTGAAGCTAAGGAAATTGCTGTTGAGATGTTGCCAGAAGGGGAGGAGGTGAAGCAAGGAAGTGTGGATTTAAAGAAAATTGTTGACAAAGACGTGGAGGTTGGCAGCAAGCATTTTGGTTTGTTTTTCTAGGGAAGAGAGACTTTTGCTAAGAACTTTTGAAGAATTTGAGAGAAGCAAGGAGAGAGACTTAAGAAAACCATAGTAGGGGAAGAGGCAGAAATATGGAACAAGGAAGGAAGGCAGGAAGAACTTTTTGATGGGGCCTTTAGGAGGAGTTACTGGGGGATGCCGTTAGGTGTTTGTAAGAAGGGAATCTCATTTAGTTTGTTTGGTAGTTTGCTTTTAGTTTGGATGAAAGGGTTGCTTTTAGCTTGTTTGAAACTTTGAGAGGTTTACCTTGGCACTTGTTATGTGATTGTAATCGGTTTTTCTTTTTCCTTTTCATACAATTTTTCTTTTGCTATATATATATGTTGAGAGAAGATAAATGTAATAGGTCAAGAAGTAGAAGAGTAAATGAGGGGGTAAATATTAATGTACAAAAGGTACAGGCAGCTCCTCCAGTCTCCCACTACACAATACAAATAAGTGTCCCCCACCCCACCCCAAATCCCCAAGTTAAAAAGACCATATGATACCAAATTCATCTCTTTAAGGATTCATATCAAAAAAAAAAAAAAAAAATCTCTTTAAGGATCCATCTTATCTGAATAGTCATGCTAGCTAATATCTCTTCAAGGCCCACTTTCTATGCTATGACACCACTTTATAACATTATATCTTTTATAGTAAAATAAAAAGAAAAATCTATCAAAAGAAGAACAAGAACTTCTAATAAAATAGCTTGGTTATTTCTTAATAAAATAGCATTTTGCATATCAAACAAAAAAAAAAAGAACAAGAACTGGGTAGGGTGAAAAGGTAGTCCCCAACACAAGAGAGAGTCAATACAGCAAGAGCAATATAGTACAATTAAACATATCAGCTATGAAATGATTGACTACAATGAAGGACAAGCCAAAGGTTTCTCTTTCAAATGAAGGACAGTCCAAGATCAGATTTCTGACCACAGAACATAATCTTTCATGACTCTTCTGGATTCCTTCAAAATCTCTTTTATTTCTCTCCTTGCACCAAACTACAGCAAATGGTACACAGCTCAAACATATTTTAGCCTTCTTGCACTCCTAAAGCCTCAGCAATAGAGAAAACAGTTTATATCAGAGTCCTCTTAATTGCAATCAAGATGAAACTGCTTCTACAACCACTTAGAAGAACCCCCACCCCCGCTTCAGTAGAGTAAGCATCACTTATGACCACTAAATGCTAGGACATGCTCCCAGTGGATGCCCATTACAAGGTCTGGTTCTGAGGATTACCTAGTTTCCTTCATAACCATTGTCTAATTTCCTGATATGTTAGAATTAATTTCTCCTATAAAGTTCAGAGACAAGCACTAGCAATAAATATAGAAGAACCATGTGTGTGGCTTGGACCCCTCCACCTAGTGGTTTTGTGAAACTAAACTTTGATGGGTGTAGCAGGGGAAATCCGGGACAATCAGGGATTGGGGGKGTTTTTAGGGATGAAAATGGGRTCATTTCTGCCATGTTCTCAGGCCCAATTGGAGTGGGTGACTCCCTTAGAGCTGAGATCTTTGCAGTTATGGAAGGAGTCCAAAAGGCTAAGGAGTTGGACATCAGGAAACTCTTAATTGAAGGGGATTCAGAGGTGGTGAT